CCCCGTTCTGCCGCTTGCAGACGGCAGATTGTGGGACTCTCAGCTCCGTCATGATGAGAGCCAAGGCCCATAATAAATTCCGTCGTCTGTGCATCTATATTTCCTATTGGTCTTGCTTTATGGAGAACCCTGATGACTAAAGCTTCGAAGATACAAAGTCTGGGGTCCAGTTCTCCTTCCTCTTCCTCTGGACACTCACCATTCAGCAAGAGAAAGTTCTGGAGAGGAGGGACATAGCAGGGTGGCTCAAAGCCACAACATGCAGGGCTTTGATGGCGGCTCTCTCAGAACGTCTGGCACCACTTCTGGTAGGCGCCTCCAGGTCTGCTCTGAGCTTAGGACACGTCTGTCGAGCCAGGGCCCTCCGACTCGGCCCTCGAGTCCCTGGTCCCTAGAACACAGCCCACGCCTGCGCGTGGAACCGGCCTAAACCAGCCAGGCCTGGAGCTCGGTCTCTACCGCTGTTGACTGCGATGAGACCCACGCTGCAGCAAACTCACGTTCATCACAGCACAGTTAGGAAACCTGCGTTTGTCAAAGGCAGTCCGAGCTCTCAGGCGTCCACACTTCTTTAGTTCCACTTAGAAACCTACACACTTGTCGCCGGCAGAGCGTCCACTACTGTAGCCTGCCCAGCCACGGCCCCGCTGCTTCATGTCCAAGGGCTCCGGCACCCCCTGAGAAAGGTGAGCAGGGAAGACGACCTTGTCACTAGAGGCTTAGGGTGAAAAGTCCCCAGACACGGGGTTACCGGACACAGGAAGTCTCGTTTCCACAGCCCTGATGGCTGCCGCCCGCCCCTCCGAGGCTCCAAAGCTCCGTTAAGGGCTGGGCGGGGGCTCAGTGGCAGAGCGATTGCCCAGCACGTGAAGGCACTGAGTTACATCCTCGGCACCACGTAAAAATGAGTACATAAAATAAAGGTGTAAAACATTGTTGTTTTTAAAAAAAGTGCTCACGATCAGATGCCGCCACGCCAAGAGCGTCCTGACCAACAGAGCTCAGGGGTGGGCCCCTCCTGTCCCAGAGCCTCGAGCCAGGATCCACCTCCTAGAACTCCGGCACCTTGCTCGGCTGGTGACCTGAGTCACGGCTTCCCCCTGTCCAGACCCGAGCCGCCCTCCGGCCTCCCCCAGAGTCCTTGGGACAAGGGAAGAGCCGGGAGGTGCCCTGCACTGAAGGCCCAGCACCTGGACTTCTCAGCTGTCGCCTGGCTGCCCGGCCCCTGCCTTCCAGAACTGGTGCAGAGAGCAGAGACCACCCTAGGGTCGTTCCTTCGCTCCCACCCTGGAGTCCACTGGGCCATGGGGACAAGATGTCACGGCCAAGAGTCAGGGTCATCGAAGCCGTACCAGCCCCTTCCCTCAGGGGCCTGGTTTCTCCCTGGGCAGGGCCAGGCTGCTCCTCTTCTCCCCGGGACAGCAGAGGGTTGGAGATTGAATGCTAGGAGCGCTACAGAGGAAAGCCACCTCTCCCTGAAGATGCTGGACGGGGAGCCCGTGTCCCCAAGCCCTTCAGCCATGAGGTCAACACAGTCCTGAACACACCACCCACCAGGGACCTGAAGCCTGTGAGCGACACCTAGTCCTTTCTCCCAAGGCCACATCAAGTGCTGTGTCCTTGAAGCACCCTGGACTCCACGGCTGGTGACTGAGACCTGGCTGTGGTTGCTCCGGGACACCTCGCAGCCATGGGACCAGGGCACATGGACCCCGGTCTCCCTAGTGTGGGAGGGCCACGTGGTGAGGGCAGGCTCCGGCCCTAGGCCACTGTGAGGCGCAGGGATCAGCTCTGTGCAGCTGCGCTGGGCGCACAGCACGTGCCCCCTCCACGCCCGTGGCGCCCCAGCTTTCTTCTGAATCCTCTCCTTGCCATCTACTCCTCCCAGGTCACGGACCCCAGCGGGCCACCAGCCAGCACAGGGCATTCTCAAGCCGCTGGACCGACAGGGTGTGGTGCCTGGAAATGACGAGCACCGGGCGTCCCAGGAGGCCTCCGGCCGACGCAGCACCGTGACCACTCAGAGCACGTCACCCTCCTCGTGTGGCCTGGGCTGGAGGCTCTGAAACCCCCCTGCTCCCTGGGTTCCAGACCTGGGCCGAGGGGTGTCGGGCGGCAGACACGAGCTTGGGAGCACAGGGGAGCCAGCCTGGGCTCAGGCTGCCACCAGAACGTCACAGTCTTGCACCGTGCACACGGGAGGTGCCCCTTCCTGTGCTGCCTTTCCTCCTAAAGGGCCCTTGGGACAGAGGCCGCGGGTCTCTCTGGAGCACTGTCCGGCTCCTAGAGTTCAACGGGGGGGCAGATGCCTCCCCAGCCCCCAGGCTGTGCACCCTGCGCTCCCCGTCAGCAGCCACGGAGCAGGTGCAACCTGACAAGTGCAGCCGGCTCTCGCAGACAGGGAGACAGGCTCCAAGAGGCACCAAGTTGGGACAGAACCATCCCTGTCGGGCCCAGAGCCCAGCCGTTTCCCCAACACCTCTCCTTCGCCTTTTTTCTCTAAAACGTCCGGCTGTCAAAGTGTGTCCGCAGCAGACAGCAGGCTTTCCCCCCGAAGCCCACCCACCTCCCCTGAGCCCAGAACCGGTGGGCGAATCCACAGCATCTCCAAGGTCACTTTAGAGAATGACCCAGGTGTCCCCTCCTCTCCAGGTTTCCTGCTTGCCTCTAGAACAGGGAGCAAGAAGTGGTGACAGGTGTACCGGCCCAGGAAGCCCACACCTGTGCAGCCTGCCCTTGGTGACAGGGTCTGAAAGCGTTTCTGTAAGGGGCCACGCAGCCAGCTTCGTCTGTGAGGCTCCAGCACCCCGGCTCCCCTGCCCAGCTCCACTCTTGCAGGCCAAACACAGCCAGAGACCAGGCATGTCCAGTGGGTACAGCTGTGTTCCAGTAAGACCTGACGCACCACAGCAGGTGCCAGGGCTGTGCGCACAGTGCGACAAACTCTGAAAGGAACCAGCCAGGGTTCACTGCCCTGCCTGGGACCCCGTCACACCAACCTGGGTGCAGTACACACTGCTGAGGCCGGGAACTCGGGCTGCCAGGCCCTTCCTGGGTCAGCCCTTCCAGCCCTGG